CACACACACACACACACACGCACACACACACGCACACACACGCACACACACACACACGGAGCGAACACATGGAAACTGGGATTCTTGGAATAAATCCAGTGAAATGAATTTAGTGGTCAGTTTATTAGGAACACCAATAAACCCCACGGTCCTGAAGGCTGAGACGTCATGATTGACAGCTGACTCATGATTGACAGCTGACTCATGATTGACAGCTGACTCATGATTGACGTGTTAATGTTATCAAACCATGCAGATGATTTTTTACACACACATATTTTAATTGTTCTGTGTTCTAAAAAAAAAACCTATGTATGATTCCGTGTGTTTCCTCCATCAGAAAAAACCCGACACCCCAGATTTGAATCATTTCACAGTGGACGAGTGGGAGCTGCCGAAAGAAGACTTCACCCTGGAGGAGGAGCTGGGGACGGGATTCTTCGCTGACGTGTACCGAGGACGCTGGAAGAACCACATCAACGTCGCCATCAAGATCATCAAGAGTGGTATTTTCTCCAAAGGTCGACTTTGGCACCGAAACCTGGAGGATCATTAAATGATCAAATCTTAAATTCTCTTCATCAAATGATTGTGACTCTGCACATTTATTAAAAATCAGTTTGTGTTTGTTTATTGAGACGAGTTATCATGAAGACTGACGTGTGTATTAAATGGTCAACATCCCGTCTCTCCGTCTCTCCATCTCTCCGTCTCTCTCTCTGTCTTCCTCTTCTCCATGTTTCCGTCTCCAGACTCGGAGTTGAACCACCGGGAGTTTCAGAGGGAGGTTCAGATCCTGAAGAGTCTCCGTCACCGTCACCTCATCTCTCTGTTTGCTGTGTGCACAGCGTCGTCACCGTATTACATCATCACGGAGCTGATGGAGAAAGGCAGCCTGCTCACGTTCCTCAGAGGTGAACCTTTTAAAAACATCTCTGACCCCACGACCTTCGTGAAGTTTCAAAATAAAATGACAGTTCCTTCTTCTCTTAACTTCTTGGTTCTTTGTTTTGAGTCTAAATCTTTGTGCGTTTCTTCGTGTCCCTCTCAGGTCCAGAGGGGGCGCTGCAGGACACGGCGGCACTCATCGACATGGGTGCCCAGGTGGCTGATGGGATGTTGTACCTGGAGGAGCAGAACAGCATCCACAGAGATCTGGCGGCTCGAAACGTGCTGGTGGGAGGAGACTACATCTGTAAGGTGGCCGACTTCGGACTGGCCCGAGTGATCAAGGTGCGGAGGGAGGGAGGAAGTTCACCTGATGAAATAAATAAATGAATCAATAAGTAAAAGGTTTGTTTCATCCAGGAGCCGTTCTACATCTCAGAGGACAAGAAGATTCCCTACAAGTGGTGCGCTCCCGAGGCCATCAGCCACGGGAAGTTCTCCAACAAGTCGGACGTCTGGTCTTTCGGCGTCTTGCTCTACGAGATCACGACGTACGGAGGCATTCCTTACCCAGGTCTGAAGTTTGTGAGTGATTGTGCAGATCATTAATCGTGCTTCTTTCATCAGACGACAGCTCGTTGGTATCATTTCTCATTGTGATCGTTTGAATCAGTGCTTGAAAGTGAGATTTCACTAAACATGTCGAAGGAAGTGAAAGTAAATGTATTTAAAGGTTTGTGGTTGAGCAGAAATTCTGCAGGTGGATCTACAGATGTTTTATTGTGAAATCCTCACTTCACCACTTCTCTCTCTCTCTCTCTCTCTCTCTCTACCTCCCTACCTCCTTCACTCCTTCCCTCCACCCTCGTCTCCTCAGCCCTCAGTAATCAGGAAGTGTTCCAGCAGGTCACCAAAGGTTACAGGATGCCGGCTCCGCCCAAATGCCCCGACGTTCTCTATCGCATCATGTTGCAGTGTTGGAGCCACGAGCCCGACGAGCGGCCGCTGTTCAAGTCCCTGAAGGTGCAGCTGGACGGCGGCTTGTACGAGATGTAGTGACCTCCGCCCTCCTGCGGTGCACGCTCAGCGCCTCGGACACGGAGCGGCGACTGGGATTCGTCACTGAGGATGATTATTTAAAAACCAGGAAGTGAAACGACACAATCGCTCACTCACGATTCCACGCTTCACTTGAGTGATGTCATCGGGAAAGATGAGAAAACACGTTGGGACATGACGTCATTGTTCAGGATTGTGACAAACAACAACGACGACGTCGGCCGGTGATCCCACAGTTTAAATGTTTATTTACACTTGAAGGTAAAAAACATCTCTCGAGTGCAATGCATGATGGGTAGTGCTCAGTCAGTGACCATTGGTTGTGCACTATCTTTCATGATGCATTATGGGAAACAATGAGTGCACCATATAGGATCCAGAAACTAGGAAACAACGAACTCTGAACTATATGTAGGTATATTTCTTATTCAGTTCACATTTAATTATAATTTTTATTATTCAACTGATTTTTTCATTATTTCCTTTGAGACGAAAATATTAGAAAAAACGTTTTTATGATCAGTTGATGATTTTAGTTTTTTGAAGCAAATGTCCAAAGATTCTCTGACTCGTTTCTTCAGTTTGAGAATGATCCGGTTTATTTCGTCTCATGTGATCGTGGACTGAAAATCTGTTCGTTTCCATCTGGAGCTAAAGACGATCGTGAAAATTAAACATCAGCTTTTACTTTGAAATGAACGTTTTTCGCCATCTAAATAAAGAATCAGTGAGTGGAGCCGACAAACTGCAGGTGAATCTAGAACTTTATAACTTTCGAGTCTTTATCAAACTCAGATTTTCTAAATGAAGTTAGATGAATGTCAGAAAGTCTGAGAGTTATTTTAATTTCTTACAAATAAAAACACGTGAATATTGACAAAGAAAACTTGAACAGAAGTTTGATCATGATGTCGATTTCCTGCTCTGACGAATTTGAACTTCCATCGTTTCCATGACAACCAGGCAAACGTCACATCGTGTGATGAGATCGAAAGTTTCAGAGAAGCTTCTGATGAAATGTCCGACTGAAACTAATCATGTAAAGTAAATGATTAGTAACTTTATACTTTTTAACAATCAATCAACAAACTTTGTGACTTGAACTCAAGTTTTATTTATAACTCAGGATCTGTCAAAGGCTGCAATATTCATCTTTGTCCAGCGGGGGGCAGCACAGTCCCAGTGATTGATCTAACTGTTTTCATGTCAACGTTTCAGTTTCAACCGTTTCTTAAATATTGAAATGAAACAGTTTGGATTGAGCTCAGCGACCGATGATCCATTCAAACCAAACTGTGAAAGAAATTTGATTATTTATCAGAAACAACAAATTTAAATGTTTAGACTTTAACTATGATGCAACCGACCAATCACGTTGAACCTGTTGCAGACAGGAAGTGTGTGTGTGTGTGTGTGTGTGCCAGTTAACCCAGTCCCTCCCCCCCTGAATGGAGGACAGTCACATCCTGACGTTACCTCGACGACCTCAGTGACCTCACCAGGAAAATCTCCTGTGACTCCGCCTCCGGACCCACAAAGTCAAATTAAAAATAACTTTGAGTGGAAACGGTTTGAGAGGAAGTTCCGGATCGGGACTCGATCACAGCAGTTTGCTACAGAAAAGAAATGTAAAAGTTGTTCATGAATAAGAACAGCAGAGGTTTGATTTCATGGATGAATAAGAGCTTTAGTTTGTTCTGAGGTGAAACTTGTTCTCTTGTTCTTTACCTCAGAGAACCTGAATCCAAGTCTCCTACAGCAGAGTTACAATCTGTCCATCACAAGAACTTTAGAACAAGAACTATGTCCCCGATGTCCCAACAACTCAGCTCAATATGCTAACGCTACAAATGTTAGCCTCTTCATGCACAACAACAACAATCATGTTGGGTTGTCCAGAATCCAAATTCTTCAAACATAAAACTCACACACACACACACACA